TTTTCAAAATGCTGACACGCCGAGCTCAAAAGGTTCACCATCACTGCTCTAGAACATACAGTTAGTAAGTGACTGTGCCCAGGAGTAAGCCCAGTTTTGTCTCTGACAAAGTTGTCTGAAACCTCAGAGTAGACAAGGGACAAAATTAATGCTGAGCTAGGGTCAGCATCTACTATCTAACATACTAAATCTCGATTCCTGCTCAGTGCATATGAGTGCACATTGATTCATCAGTTTGGATCTGACCTTGGACTCAGGTTCTTACTTCAGGTGAATCACTTTCCCTCTGACTCCTAATTTTCTCATCTATGAAATAAGAATATTAGTTTCCATGGGAAACTTCTAGCTCTTATAGTCTAGGATTCTAGGTAGATGAAATCTAGGTAATACTATGGACAGACATGAAGAGTTGAAGAAGCCCTGGAGGTGATCTCATCTAGGTATATCAAATGCACGGCATATAGGCTGCCTCTTCCCTATGCTATGCCCAGGGTAGACATCACTAATGAATCACAATCCTCTTTTTTGCTGAGGCTAGTGGTAGCTTCAGAATCCTTTTCAATTCTATGCTGAGGAAGCAATTAAGACATGGTACATTGGATAAACCTCTATGTTAATCAACCTTCCCAATTTACAAATAAGGAAACTGAGATCCAGTAAACATCTGTTAAGCAATTAATATATATCAAGTCTTGTGTTAGATCCCACAGGTAAAAAGATGATCAAGTCTTGTGCTCTAATGACTTTCAGTTTAACGAGAGATGTGAACTGTTAAACAAGCAATTACAATACTGTGTACTGAATACTATTTGGCCACATGGGAAACCACCTAACCTAGACTAACATTCATGGAAGGACTCCTGCAGGAAGAAGCATTTAAGCTAAGACTTGAATGGAAATAGGAGTTTGTTGGATGAAGAAGGGGTGAAAAGGACCATTCTAAACAGAGGAAGGAACCCAACAGTGCCAGACAGCGCAGACTACTCAAGGAGTTAGAAGTTGCAAGGATGCCTGGAACTTTGAAGCATAAAACACAATTAGTTAGGGAATGGTGAGCAGAGAGGCCAGCAGGGGCCAGCCCTCAAAGAGTCACATATACTACAAAAACCGTTCTTCGCCCTGGTGGTAGTTTGAAGGCATGGCTGCACTCTTCCCACTGAGAGGTAGGGTCTTTGTCCCCCTCTCCTTGAAACCTATAACTGCTTCAATCAGTATAGTACTGTGGAAATCAGGCAAAGCCATGAAACACCATACAGCTTCCACCTTGTTCACTGGAATTATCACCCATGGAGCCATGAGCCACCATGTATTCTTACTAAGAAGCCCAACTCCCCAGGCCCACCATGCTGGAGGGGCCACAGGTAAGTGCTCCAACTGACAGTCCAGCAAAGGTCAGCCTTCCGACCCTCCCCACCAAAGTGCCAGATATGTGAGTAAAGCCATCCTCTACTTTAGAGCAGCCCATTACCAGCTGAATACCACCAGCTCACCTCTGTTGATGCTCCATAGAACAGAAGAATCAGCCAGCTGAGCCCTGCCTGAATTCCTGACCTACAATTTACAAGATATAATAAAATGATTTTTTTAAACCACTAAGTTTTGGAGTAGTATTTTATGCAGTAATAGACCATCAGAACAGCAAAGAAGCATTGAAGGTTTTAGGAAGGAGAGTGGCATGATTAGAATTGTTCTGGAAGGAGCACTTGGGCTGCTGCATGGGGAATGGATTGGGGAGTGGGGAGAATGGAGCAGAGCAACTCTAGGTCCACTGCAATTGTATAGTAAGTGATGACCAAGGCAGTGCCAGTGAGATGAAGGGATATGCTCAGCCGATTTGAGATATATGCAGAAGGTAGAGTCAACAGAATGCAGTGACTGACTGGAGAGAGGAGAGTGAAGGAAGATTCCAGCTCAGGTAACTAGGTGAATGGTGGTACTATGTGCTGAGATGGGAAAAGTTTGGAGGAGAAGCATGTCTGGGCAGCCTAGGGAGAGAAGTGAGTCCATTTTAGATATAGTAGGTGAGATCATGCAAGATGGGGTGAGTAGTGGCTAGAGAATTCAGGAGACACATCTGGTGAAGACCCAAATTTGAGAGCCATCCACTAAGGGATGGTGAGGGAAGCCCTAAGAGGGATAGAAGGACCAGGAATCTCACTGTGAAGAATAAAAAGAGGAAAACAAAGTGCAGAAGACCAGGGAAAAGCAGAGCCAAGACTGGCCATGGACAGTGCACAGCCTGGCCACCTGAAGTTGCCTACCACCTCCCCTTTCCTCCTGTCCCCTAGGAACCTTGGACGCTTTGAACATGAAAAACAGTGAGGCTGAGGAGACATGGAAGTAGGCTCTCTCACCCTGTGGCTCATCAGAACTGTATATGCCACCCCATGCCCACTTCTTTAGTTTTTTATATGCTCTGCTTTATCCTCCTCTGTCCATACCTCCAGCCTAATTGTTTTCTTTTAAATGCTCCTCATTTCTTTCCCATTTCATTTTCTTTCATCTGCAACCTGCTATTAAGGTTGTTTTCCCTACAGCTATTTTGACACCAAAGCAGCATAATCTGTTTTCCTAATTAGCTGTGATACATACACAAACGCCAACATCTCCTGCCCAACAGCACTCTCTCCAGTCATCCCCCACAACTCCCCACATAATGGAGTTTTCCTCTCTCCCACTTCCTCTCTCCTATTCCCATGGCTCCTTCAGCCAGATATTCCTCTCAAGGAACCACTGGCCTGACCATTGACTATAGTAGCCATCTTTAGAGTTATTCCATGGAGTAAGACCATGTCTCCATAAAGACCCTGTTAGAAGCATTCTGTTAGAGCATTAAGCAGTGTTAATGGCATGCCAGATAAGCTTTCTTTGAGAGTTAACAAATTCCGATGAAATAAGAAAATCATTCACAGGGAACTCAAGATATTGAATGGAGGAACCAAACCCAAATTCCAAAAAAGCAATATGTAAAGATGAGTCTAGAACAGGGGTGGGCAAACTTTTTGACTCGAGGGCCACAATGGGTTCTTAAACTGGACCGGAGGGCCGGAACAAAAGCATGGATGGAGTGTTTGTGTGAACTAATATAAATTCAAAGTAAACATCATTACATAAAAGGGTACGGTCTTTTTTTTTTTTAGTTTTATTCATTTCAAACGGGCCGGATCCGGCCCGCGGGCCGTAGTTTGCCCACGGCTGGTCTAGAAGGTGGCCATCCAGGGTCTGGGGTGTGCAGTGGGATGGGGGTATGAAGGCCAGCAGCTGAGAATTAAGACAGAGGTCCCCTGTGTGGGGATGCCTATGCCATGCGGAGGCAGTACAGCAGCCTCACAGAATATCATGAGCCTTAACACCTCCCAACTGCCTTCTAAACACACACACACACACACACACACACACACACACGTACATGCACACATGCACACACACGTGCACACACCATATTTACTCCAGAAAACATGTTCCTGATAAAGCTAATGAGCCTGATCTGGCCAGACTCAGACTCTCCTGAATTTTGCATGACTGGCTGGGCACAGCTCCAGCACGAGAGAAAACAGTAAGAATCTGAAATAGAGACCAAAATATCATGCCTCTCTTCACACCCCCTCCACTTTGTTGAACTTGTTGACAACTGACTTAATAGACTACAGAACTCATTTTAGCCTCATGACAATCCTGAGCATCTTTCTTCCCTTAGCAAGGCTTAGAGGCAGCTCCTTGAAGGCTGGACAATTTTGTAGCTTTCCCAGTACTCCTAGGATTCCCCCAGCCTCAGCCAAGGCTCTGAGGACCACCCTATGAGGTGAAAGTTATCACAGGATAATGTACAGAGAGGGCTTTACACCAGGTCTAAGACATGCTAGCCACCTCCACCCCCATGAATGGTTTCTCTAACTTCAAATGCCACAACTCTTTCCACAGTTCTTCTTAATGTATAGAAAAGCAGGGTTCTTATAGCACCACCCATGATGTAATCCAGGGGGTCACAACACTGTTCCTTTCCATGATCCAAGGATGTCTCAACATTGCCTGTGATTGAATCCCAAAGCTGCACTAGTGCTTCTTCTGAAAATACCTGGTTCCTTAGTCCCAAGAACAGTCTTTGTGGCTCAGCCCCCATCACCAGCTGCCCATGAAAAGAACCAGCAGCCCCCCAAATGAAGAAGCCCATTATTATCTGACCTTCAAACAATGTCTGCGAGCCTTCGGAAGAACCTACAACCACTTGTGGTCTGCATTTGTTTTTCTGAAGGTCACATCCTCCTATCTAGCCCCCGAATTCTCTCTCGAAGAATTACAGAAAACTCAATCGCATTTCAATAGATACCTCCCTGCCCCTGCCCTAAGGGAACTTGTACTATTCCAAACTCTTTCCCCAACTATATATGGCTCCTTTCAATAAGCTTATGAAACCCGGACTCTCAAAATTATTGTAGAATATACATTTTCTAGGCAAGAATGTATTTATTCTAAGAAGCAATGCTTTCTCTTTTTTTATACTACAAAATAAGGATATTTATTATAAAGTTAGAAGAATTAAATGGTACAATGATAGACAAAGGGACCAACTGAACAGAACAGAGAGTCCAGAAACACACCCAAACACACACTGGATTGGTGATAAAGGTAACACTGAAATTCAGAGGAAAAGGATGGTGTTTTTTTTTTAATTCTTTATTGGCTGGGGAGAGGTCAATGGGGGTGGGAGGGAAGGAGACATATGTAATACTTTAAGCAATGCTTTCTTAATCTGCCTTGACCTTTGCACTCCCAATGACTTTCCTAATTGTGTTTTGACAATAGTGTATGTTAAATCATGACTAGTACAGTTGGAGCAGTGTCCAGGCCTGCATTCCTCCTGCTCTGTTCCAGCAAAGCTGTTGGATGGACACACACCTGCAGCTTCTGGAACATTCCAAACCTCATTTCTGAAAGCAGAACAATAGGGAACTGGGGGATGTGTTCATGCCCTCAGAGGCAAAATATTTGCTGCAGGTGGATGATCTGGGCATGCACAGTGTGGCCAACAACATGGGTTTAGATTCCAACAGATTGTAATAAAAATTTACTGGCTCAGCCACTTACCAGCCACATGGCCCTGGGCAGGTTAGGAACTTTTTTGAGCACATGTTCTTCTTAATCTGCAAAATGGAAATGACATCAGTTGCTATTTCAGAGGATTATAAGGGAGAACATTATAAAGGTCCCAGCACTGAGCATGGCACAGGGGGAGCACTCAATAAGCAATAGTTATTAGCTATAATTATAATGTATAATTATAATGAGATAAGGAAACATTTCATGCATTTCTCTAGCCTCATTCCCTAATCCAATGCCTAGCATAGGGTACACAGTCATCCAATCTAATAAAAGAGAAACATGGTAATTAGCTGTACCTCCGCTACCCTTCCCATTGGCTAATCAGGGCGATATGCAAATTAACTGCCAGCCAAGATGGAGGCCGGCAGCCATGCACTGAAGCGAACAGGGAGGTTTGCTTGCTCCAG